TATATATATATCGTAATAAAACATAGATATACCGATTTATATGCAGCCAAAGCTTATTATGAATATATTTTCTTTCGATTTCGATAGTTTCAATAATCGTTTTCAATAGGATCAACAAAATTACTCATCATTATATTGTTTTTGTTCAAATAAATAGTTTTCGGTTGGGTTTTTTATTATGGTTTTTTTCTACACAATACCATATGGAAAAGAAATTAATAATAATAATTAAAAAAAAAATGAATGAAATTTTATTGATATCAAATATGAGATGAGTTTTGTTAAGACTACATATATATATATATATATATATATATAAATATATATGTATTTGTGTATCGGTGAATAGGTATGTGTTCTATAGACTTGTGGTTTCATTTACCGCTGAAAGGCGTCAAATTTGTCAGTTGTTCAGTTTTAGCCAGCTGATTTATTAAATTGTTCTTTATTAATTAATTAAAAAAAAAGGTAATTATAATAATAATAATAATAATAATAATAATAAAAACAAGCCATTACATTGGCATTTAGCAATGTCATTGCTATTACAGTTATTACTTTAGTTTTTTTCTTCTTTTATTTTAAGATTAAAATAAATTTACTTTTATCTATGTAAAATGTTGCGTTACATTTGTTGTTGTTGTTTTTTTTTTTTTTAATGTTATTTATTTCTTTCTTTTTTGTTTTGTTTAATTGAAGCTGGTTGTTTATTTATCTCCTTCATCCTCTTCCATGTTTTATGCATGAGTTTTATATAAGTGTATTTACTATTTTTTATATGCATTTTCCTCATCTTCTTTTCTTTCTGGGTTTGTATTATTATTTTAATTTTAATGATTTTTTGTTTGCAAATTGCTTTAAATTAATTATGTAATTATGTGTGTGTGTTTATTTGTGTTTATATATATATATATATATAAATATATATATATATCAATGTATTAATTATATTTAATTTTTGCCAGTTGTTTGATTTTTTGTTTTGTGTTGTTTTTGTTTGTTTTTTGTTTTTTTTTTTTTTTTAAATATATTTTTTAATATTTCTTATTTTTGTGTTCCCACTCTCTCCAACATGTATGGTTGTGGGTGTATGTATATATATATGTGTGTGTGTTTGTATAGGTTTCTGTGTACTGTGTTGATTGATTATATAAATATATGCATATATATCATAATTATGATATATACGATATAGATATATATATTGTACATATATTTGCGTATGTTGCTATTGCCCCTATGAATCTGTAAATAAAATAAAAAAGGAAACAAAAACAAAACGAAAAACATTTTAATAAAATTCAATGAATTTAAATAATACAAACTTATAACAAAATAAATTTATGTGAATGAAGCTTGCAACTTATGAATACAAAAATATACATTTTGGCAGGTCAACCAAACAGCTAGCATAGGATATACCAAAGATCGAAGGGAACTAGGATAGAAAATACAAGAGCTATACAGCCACAGAGACTCGGGCTTACATTCGGCGTGCCGAGACACATCTGGGGGTTTACCCAATTCGAAAGGAACTACTGCTAAACGTGAAACTAATAAATTTCAAGTTGAAGACAAAATATGTTGAACGAAACACTTACTATGAAGGGTATAGAGAAAGCAAGATAAAGCATGCAAGTTTACATAAAAGCAGACAATGGATTTGAGAAAGGGTGAGGGAGAGAGAGAGAGAGAAAGAGATAGAGATGTATAAAAATTGGTTTGCCTCGCTCTATCTATGCACTATGCTATATTTATACATATATGTGTAATGCCAAACTGGTTCTCTATTAATACACCTCCCAAAGCATCTGGCCTTAATCACAAGGAATGAAGTTATCTTAGTTTAGAGCCAAAGTACCGCCCTTAAGGCATTTTAATGATAAGGGCAAATTCAAAATATGAGCTCAAGTTGGGAATAGATGAAAACAATCAGCGGCCAAATAGAGATATAACTACTTTAATTCAGAAATACTTCGTGAGCTTTAAATTTTGCTTTTGGATTTTGATTACACTGGATAGTGAATGGAAATCTCTGTTAGCCAAAGTTGAGCCGAAACAATGACTTCGAATTTAAATGTAGTATGGGTAACGCAGCAGTGGTTTGAGTCAATATTGGGTTGCAATATGGCCTCGCATCGAATCGAAGCTCCGATGGAGCCGGCTGCCATACATGTCTGGAATGGGGGTTACGACATGATATTGTCTGGGTTGAATTTGATCTTGACAGACTTCAGCTGAATGTGAACGGTTCTTGCGTGGGCTCCTCGTCAAACTTGCTGCTTGGATCGATTTAAGGAATTTGGGCAAACGATTCTCAGCTAAAAGCAAGCAAACCGAGATTAACACAGAGAGATGGAGAAAGAGATATAGGGAGAGGGAGAGGGAGAGAGAAGAATAAGTAGTGATAGACTGATAGCTCGTTAGACAGATAGACAGATGGAACGATAGAAAGATAGATTGATAGATAGATTGATAGACTGATAGAGGCTGATCTATTAGTTGCAACTTGCGACTCGAGACTCGTGACTCGTGACGCGAGGCGCGATGCAGCTAGGCATGCGCCTACTCACCTGTTATGTTAGTGCCACCTGCATTGCTTGTGGCAATCGCGCCGGCTGCAGCGGCAGCTGTTGCAGCGCCACCGCCACCGCCGCCGCCGGAGCCAGCTGCAGCCGCATTCGATTGCTGCGCATTGGGAGCGCCTGCAGCAGCTGCACCAGTTGTTGCATTGCCACTGTTGCTGCTGCTGCTGTTGTTTCCCTGGGCGCCGCCAACGTTAGCGGCGCCACCGGCGCCTGTGCCTGCTGCTGCTGATGCGGGCGCCTGCTGCTGCTGTTGCTGTGACTGCGCGGCGCCATCACCGGACGTGCCACTGCCCGCTGATGAGACGTTGGTCGAGCCACTGGCCGCAGCGCCAGTCGGTCCGCCAGCCGAGGCGCGATTAGCACTGGCTGCGTGAGCTGCGTTCTGCAGATGCTTTGGCAACAACTGTGGCACTAAGCTAGGCTGTATCGAGAGTTCTGCAACGAAACGGAATGGTCACATATGTTCATATAGATCCGCATATCCCAGCGCACTCACCATGCTCTGTGAAGTTGAAAAGTGGCGGCATGTCGCGGCCATTGGGCAAGGTGTGATTGCCCTCCATGCGCAGCTCGTCAAAGAACGGGTGTGCACAGGCCTTCAGCGGCGTAATGCGGGCGCTGGGCGTGTACTCGAGCAGCTGCGACACCAAGTTGATAGCTTCTGTCGGAGTGCGTATACGGAAAACCTGTGGAATGGCCAGAATCAAATTAGAATGCAATCATCGGCAGCATCACTCAGCTGTCTTCACTTGGGCAGGGGCGGAGTCAGAACAGGACACGGCATTGGAGGGCGACCAAGCGAAAAATAAATATAAATACAAATATACATAGATATATATACACCTATATACATGTATATCCCCGAGGCGGCAGAACGTGGGACAGAAGGCGAGGCACGTTTAATAGAAAAACAACAATCAAGGCAAGCCAAGCCAAGTCAAACTGAATCAAATCAACTCAAATCAAATCAAATCAATTTAAATTCAATCAATCAACATGTAAGCCATTTACAAACACTTTTACAAATGCGAGCGTCGCAAATGAACTCAAGCTAAAGCCATATACAATATCGATATATCGATTTGAGGTGATTCATGAGATTTGGATTTGCTGTATTTTGTAAACTCTTTCGGACTAAGCTCAGGTTCAATTTAAGCTGTCGAATGCGAGTATAACAGTTACTGAACTGTTCTAAGCGCTGCACACCTACAATCGTTATACAAGCTAACTGTTTTATAACCATCAGCACACTCTCTTACATCATATACAAATGCAGTTTGTATTAAAATATATAATATATACATTTGTTTCGAAACTCTATTGATGGCCCTACAGCTATTATAATGCAAAGCGCAATTCGACCAGTTATAGAACTGCCCAAACTACTAAAATACAATTATTGTACTAGCTAACAACTGTTACATAAACTGTTATACTGCTTAAAAAATATTACACTGGATAATGGGAACGTAGCTAAAACTGTTATACAATGGATAAGATACCATTGAATAGTAAAATTAGCCTAACCAAGTAGTTATAGCTCTTGTGTAGAACCAATTTCACTGTTATACATATGGGATATACATGACCAACATCGGATTTGAGTACTTTTAAGCGTCAGACGTCAGTTATAGAAAGGTCAAGGAATTTATCTTGTGCGTATGCGCGCGAGTGTGTATGCTTTATATGTTGGCATGGCAGTGCGAATTAAAAAGCTATTGTATCATCGTAATATTCTTAAGCTGATTGTTTTTTTTTTTTTTTTATTTGGTTTTAAATTTCGTTCGCTTTTGTTTCGGCTTACTCTCAATTGTTGTTTCTGGTTTAGGGCGTTTGGAAATTGGGTGCGTTCGAGTAGTGACTGCAACGAATTGTTATGTACACTTCAATAACGATTTAAGACACACACCAGAAAGAGACTGATAGATAGAGCGAGAGAGTGAGTGAGTGAGAGATATGATAGCGTTAGTCTGAGAGAGAGAGAGATACAGATAGTAGAGAGATAGAGCGAGAGAGATGACATTCAATCTGCCATGACATTCTTTCAGTTAGTGACTCGATTTTTGATCTATCAATAGCATTGAGACTGTTCAGAGTGAGCATTGGTCGATTGAGGGAATTAGGATATACTATACAACTTATATATATGTCTATATGCATCTCGGCCCACTTACTTTCTGCCATGGATGACTTTTAATCTGCGGAAATTTGAATTCCGTATAGTTTGGATTCATTTCGCGTATTTGTTCTCGTGTCGGTGTGCCCAAAACCTTGATCACCTCAACCAGCTGATCGACACCAGAATCACCAGGAAATATGGGCTGTCCCAGCAATAGTTCGGCCAGCACGCAGCCAGCGCTCCATACGTCTAGAAGCAATCGGGAATTATGTTACTGATAATTCGAGTATGAATATAAAGCAGATATTTTACCGATTTTAGTTGTATAGTTGATGGCGCCAAATATAAGCTCTGGGGCACGATAATACCGGGAGCAAATGTACGAGACATTCGGCTCACCGTGCAGCAGCTGCTTGGCACTGCCGAAATCGCACAGCTTGAGTACGGCCGTTTCGGGGTCGAGCAGCAGGTTCTGCGGCTTGATATCACGATGGCAAATGCCTAGCGAATGGATGTATGCCAAGCTTCTAAACAATTGATACATATAGAGCTGCGAGAGTCGACAATCGGGAAGACGGATCAATTAGTACATAGTTCTCTTGTAATGTAAGCTCCTCATATACTCACCCGAATAAAATTGATTGGTATCGTTTGCTTGGTTTTGGCATATTGACGTGCCACTTTGTATACAGTTTCTGGTATATATTCGAGGACTAAATTCAAAAATACTTCATCGCGCTGCAAGAGGAATGCCAATATATATATTAGTCAAAAGTTTACGGCGAGTTATTAGTTGTTCATTGTGATGATCAGGCGAGCTCCAAGCTGCAAGCGGCGGAAAAGTTTGTTGACGGTTGCAAAAATTGACATCAGCATGCGAAATGTGATGTTCGAGGATCAACGATGGCGATAACGATGACGATTCTTAGAATCGAGTACTTGCATTTAGCAGCACTACGACTATATACAAGACATTTCTAAATATATATATACATGTGTATATATATGTGAATAGCATCTAGCATCTTAAGTGTTTTCTCGATTTCGGGGTAATGTTTGCGTTGAAAGAGCGGGGTCAGGGGTAAAGGTCAGGGTCAACATGCACACACACACTAATCTCTCAAGCTTCTTCTAGCATGCAAACTTTTGCACATATTCTTAGACAAAGAGAGATATAGAGAGCGAGAGCAAGAGAGATGGGAACGGATTACCAAATATGTATTATGGAATGGAGAGGCAGAGAGATAGAGATAGAGAAAGATAGAGAGAGAGAGAGAGAGAGAGAGAGAGACAAAGAGCGATAAGCGCATAAGAGAGTGAACATTATGAGCGAATCTTTTGAAGAGTTGCCCTCTCTTCATATTCTCGTTCTTCTTCTTGTTCTTGTTCATTTTGTTCTTAAGATGGCATTGCTTACGTAATACCTGCGGCTTGAGCACAGCGGCTAAAATGCCCAAATCGATGGGAAATTCGGCCAACTAATATCAATCGTCACGATTCGTTCGACATTTATATGTAATATAATAGAAAGAAAATCAATTGAAATATATCATAATAAAGTACATGAAGACTTATATATAGAAGTCGAGCCGCAACAACTCTAGCGCAAATCACAGCTGGGAACCCTCAACTCTGATCGTCCTAAATTCAGTTAGATATCCATAGATGAATGTCATATATATTACCTTTTCACCACTCGAATAGAAAAAGTACAAAAGTTTAACGATATTACAATGCTCCAATCTGCGCATTATTTGCAGCTCACGATTCTGCAAAGGAAAAAGTTGACAGTTGACAGTTGACAGTTGAGAGTTAATATACATATATCAATTTGGTATTCGAACTCGCAAAGCGAACTACTCACCTTAAATCGTCTGTCTTGTAAAACTTTTTTGATTGCAACCAATTCGCCGGTATCGCAGAGTTTCGCCTGAAAGACGACTCCAAAGCTGCCATTTCCTATGACTTTTGTGTCTGTATAGGAAACTTCTTGAACGCGATCGGTGCCTTGGCCAGGCGTGGCAACGACTGTTGTAATTTTGGAACCATCGCGACCTAGGGGAGCAGAGAGGAAAATCAAAGAGAGCCATAAGTATAAGATGTAAATATTCTTGGAAAAACAAATAAACTGAAAATATATTGTTTATATTTTTCTAGTATATCTTTAGCATTAAATATAATTTCATATTAGCCCAGTTCCTTTTGGCATAAACAATAAATATTTATGCATTCAGTTAACTGCCATGATTAACAAAAAGTTACATATATATGTATGTATGTCTATCGTTTACATAGTTGACGACAAGACGATGCCAAGTGGTTGAGAGCAGAGCTCGGTAATACCTATTGTCTCCCAGGCGCCCTCAAGTTTCTCCTTGCTTCTATCAACCTCCTTTGGAATGGACAATGCGACGCTATGCTCGGGCCACAAATCATTCAACTTTCCGATCAACTGTTTCATGCCTGTGGCAGGATTAGATCGAATCGCAAAGAGGGAGAAAGAGAGTGAGAGAGAAAGAGAGTGATGAATAGATAAATAAAGGGCACAGAGCTCAGCACACGACATGAAAGAGTGTGAGTGGGAGAGCGACAAGCCAAGCCAGATTGGTAGTGACAGAGAGGATCGAGAATTTTGAGTTGCAGAAGGATTTTAGTCATGCAAAACACGAAAACTGTAAACATTCGCTCAACCCTCTTCGCCTTTGTCTTCCTCTTGTTGTTCTTTATCATTTGTTATCATGCTCGTTTGCATACATTATATACATATATATATATATATACATATATATATATATATATATATATATATAT